CGACTGCAGCGTTCGAATGCCAACGTGACATGATATTGTCTTACTGATAGATAATTTCTTTGGACAAAGAATTCATCCAACTCTGCATCAGTATTACCAGTCGAGAAAAGGAAAAGTTGTGTACCGGCCTACAATGCGCAGAGCATGGTTTATATACGCGCTTTGTGACGTATAAATCAGACGGGACTGCAAAGGCGAGGTAACGTTTCCTGAGTACAAAGCAATTTGCCCTGCGGAATTGTGTCCTGAAAACTATCTATGCGAGAAGAATATGGAGTGTTATGTCGTTCACCCTCTTGAAGAGCCTAGCGGAAGCTATGAACTATAAATAAACATTTGTGTGGCGGGGCGATGGCGCAGTAGGTTTGTAGATTATTCTAAGCGTAGAATGCCGGAGTCAGATCCAACATGTGGCGTGCATTTTCTCCTATTAACAACGAATTACCTTCAGCAAGGAATACATTCTACGACGCTTCGATGCAACCAACTGAAAAACGGGCGGCAGGCCTTTAAATGCGAATAACATGCACAACATGTGGCTTTAGCATGGTCATGCCATAGCCTTGCGAGGTATGCGGCCATGCTGTCTGATGCATGCATTTCACCACTGCAATTTGAATCGATTCACATGATCGCTAAACAAAATTCAGCACAAGTCGAAAAATATGCGAAATAATTATATTTATAAATGTTACCAAAATAAAGTAAGTGTTTGAAAATAATAGATAAATCTACCACTAATTTTGAAAGCTGTTTATGGTGTATCGCACGGCACTGAGCAACTAGTGAAAGATAAGATACACGTATAAATCACTATTTTTTAGGCAGAAGAAAAAGATTGCGCTTGCAGAACCAGATTTCGTATGTTCCCGGATATCCACGCCCTGGCCTCAGTCCGTATCAGTTTCCTGCAGGCTTGCCACCACCTGCCACGGGATATGGCGGATTTCCATCTCCTGCTTTTGGCGGTGTCCCGGCAGGAGGAGGAAGAATTCCTGTTGCACCTGCGCCATATGCTGCTGCTGGGGGAAGATACGTTGGCCGCGTAGCTCGTGGTGACGGAAGAGGGCCCGTTGGTCGAGGTCACATGAATGCGCCACAGCGTTCAGCCAGTCCTTCGTTCACGAGAAGTTCCGGTAGTTATGGAAGCGGCACCGGAGGGAATTACATAACTCAACCGACTGGTGGCGCACGAGGAGCTGTTGCTGGTCGAAATTATATTGGTGCGCCGGCTGGAGGCGGACCCTCGTTTCCAAGAGGTACCAGCAACGTAGGTAATGCAGGAGGCTTCTCGGGCATGAATAGCCCTTCCAGCATCAGTGGCAGCGTAGGGAACTTCATGGGTCGAGCGATTGGCGGCATTGAAAGAGATGTCGAGCGAGGTGTTGAAAGAGGCCTCAGTCAAGGAGTTGGCAACGTAGCACGCAGAGCCGGCGGTGCTCCTCTCTCAGGCTCGAGAAGTGGCTCCTTCTCTAATCCCAGAGGATTTACCAGCGTCGGTGCTGGACCTGGCGTTGGCGGCGCCTCCGGTTTTTCAAACGTGCCCTCGACAACTGGTAATTTTGTTGATCGTGCGGTACCTCGATTAAAGTCTCCTAAACCTGGAAGCGTTTCAACGAAAGGCATGTTGCCGAACACCGGCTCTCAATTGGCTAGTATGCCACCTACTTCTAAGGGTAGCCCTAAGGGCAGCAAAAGTGGCACTGCCCTCGGCAGAAAAGCCGCAGTTCCGACGAAGGGTTTATCCGGCGCCAGCAGGGCTTCAGCTGGAACTTCTGGTGGTGCCAAACCTGCACCTGCAAGTCTCACAACCGAAAAGATTAAAGATTTAATCGCTTCTGATATCTCAAAGTGGACGTAGAATTTGTGGTCGCAGCAAACACAGTGTGAATGTCAAATAAACGTGTCGAACAGACCAATCGAAAATTTGAGGTTCACCTTATTTCTCGTGCCTTGTTGAAAAAAATTCAGTCATTAAATTTATTCACTGGAAACTAAACTTACAGACAGATATCGAATTATGTAAGTTCTGACCCCATCGGTCAGTTTCGATGACTACCTACTCTTTAGGGTTACGAAGGCAGATACATCAGACAATTGCTTCAACGTTCCTGATTGCTTCGGCTGAAGAGAACTTGAAGCTGGAGCAAAATCCTCCGAGACATTTGCATTCAGGATATTCTTGCTGGTCTAGAGGGACTTCGACGGGTTAAAAAATTAGTAATCCCTTTGCGTGCCTTTCTGAAGGTTTCCAGAAAGTTGTTTCCGTTTTTGTCAAGACGTTTCCAAACAATCGCAGCTGTTGCTTCTCGATCTGGAAAAGCAGCGGCTGTAAAACTAAGTCCTATAGGTATCCATACTCTGCACAATCTCGAACAAAAACAGGCAGAATTGAGCGATGATGTGGAACAAGCGACTACAATAATCAGTTCTGTTATATGTGGTCTTCTGCACAGTTGCATCATGAAGATTTTTCAGCATCTCACACTTCTTAGAAATAAAACTACAGGCATAAGATATGAAACCCGTTTTGATGCATGAACCGTTTAGAATCTAGTCATTTCTTCTGACTGTTGCTTACTCCTGGAAAGAATGCAAGTTATTTTTCTGCACTTGTTTACTGATGCGAAAAGCAGGTCGTTTACAGCTTGGTAATTACAAAAAGGAGCAATTTGTCCTGGAAGCCAGAAGTGCACGCAAATATTTTGAGAGCCTGTTTCGAATCACAATCTGAATATGGCAGCTATCTTAAATATGAATAGAATGACGTGACTTTACTAAATTTTGTCGAAATCTTCATCTTTCATCGCCGCTTTTCCTTTCGCGGAGGCAGACGCGTCAGACAGAGCTTCCGATCCTGTGCCAGCGTCTGAGCTTCGGCAAAAGACAACTAAAGTCTGGAACAGACTCCTTCCATATAATTGCACCAGGTTAATCTTAGCCATCCCCTGGGCCTTCTGCCAGTCGGTTTCCCAAAAAAGAGTTGTTTAGCCTTTCTTTCTGGAGGCATTCGCAACACATGCCCAAACCATCGCAGCTGTGACTTCTCAATCTGGCGAAGCAAAGCTGTACACCAAGGCTGTTCCGGATGTTAGTATTCCGGACCATATCGAGACGTGTCGTCTAAGAAAGCCTAATTTTGTCGGAAAAAGTAGGAGGGTTGGAGACCGTAACAAGTATCCGTAAAATTTAGCCACCTTCCACTCATGGTATTGACGCCATCGTAAATTATACCGGCTTGATCGTCGTTCGGGTTACCAAGGGCCACACAAGCTGTTGAGGGTCTGCGAAAGGTCGGAGATCAGAACCTGCTCATTGCTCTATAACAGCTGGGGGCGTGGCAGCACAACGACGGCTGACGAAGACCGACGGAACGACGACGAAGATACCAATCAGCAACGGAGTCGCTACCCGTTCTGAACGGAGGAGGCAGACAGCGCAATGCCATTATAGCACGTCAGAAAAGGGTCCACGAGAACAATTTTGTCGACATTGAAAACAAAAAATGAATGCAGTCGGCACTGCTTCGACGCAGAGCTGTTCGAAGGCTTCCCAGATACTTTGGCATTAAGCTCTACCGCTATTATATCATGGCTTCAGATGTTACAAACGAAGCGGCATTCCCATTTTTACTTTTGTTCAGATCACAGAGAAATTGCCAGACTGTTGATCAATGAAAACTGAAGCGTCTCATACCTGGAAAAAAGAATTTGCTATATTTCCAATGTATATGCTAAGTACACTTCCATGATTGACCGTACGCAGAGCATTCCCGATGCGTAGGAAGATAGTTTCCTTCGTGCGACCGTCAGCCCTCAGATGCCGCCATCGGCGAAGTAGCATGGTGTTCTTGCGCTTGGCCGAAACTTCGGAGATACTGAATTGTATTCT